AGGTGAAGCAGTGGAATTAGTAAGAAAGTGGAATATTAATCCAGTTGTAGTATAATATACCCGGGTTCGTTCAGTAAGATTGAACGATGCGAATTTTTATTACCTTCAAACCGGAGTCTCATGCATCCGTTTTCCGACGAAAGATATCCGAAAAACCTTCTATTTTGACATAATCGTATGAAAATATGTCAAAATAGAACATTTTTCGGACATCTTTCGTCGGAAAACGGATGCATGAGACTCCGGCCTTAAACAACAAATCTTCTGAAAAACGAAATGGAAAACCAATAAGACCTTGTGTAAACTTACTCAATTTTACTTACTGGACATGCGCCCGACATAGCAAATATTAGGGACATTTAAGGAAGGTTGTGATGTGTAAAGAAAACGAAAAATTTGTGAAACGTCTACTTTATTATTAAAGTAAATCGTACCGTTCTCATCCTGGAACTAACGAGGGGAAAGAGCACGGCAGAGAAACCCTCGAACTAACATTCCTCAAAAATCGAAACATACTGTTTCATTTTTATAATAATTGTGAGTCATTAATTCAATAATTTAAATCAATAAAAGTTTAAATTAGGTACCATCCTTTGTCCCATACGGGAAGCTACTCAGCTATAGTTGTTTTTGAGCCAATATCTCTAGATTGATTATTTCAATTTGTTAGGATATCCTTTCGTCAGGGTAGGAAAATGTTAGTAAATTCAACAAGGCCCTAATGCACGCTCTGAATACACAAAATCAAAATCTCAGCACAAAAAGACAGCACATAATTTCTTAGGTTTTTAATTTACTTCTTTATCTGTGTTGTTTACAGCATGAAACGATTTTTGTTTAATACATGAACAATGCACATGTTATAAAAAAAATGTTATAAACAAACAAAAAAAAAAAACATAAAAATGGAATAAATGATAGGTAGGTACTTGTATAAATGATTGAACTCTCAAAAACAAAATAATAATTATTCAACTGACCTGTGATCTCTCCTTGACACACACACTAATAACAAATTGGAATAAACAATCAATTTAATACAAAATAAAAATAAAAATTGAATAATGAATATTTACAGACACGCGACACGCGTCCAAAGGATCAGTCCCAGCTTGTTCTCTAGTCTAATGCCTAATCGCCTCTTCTCTACCTCTCGTTCGGTATCTACCCTTTCAGTACGCTTCACGGCGCATACAAGGTTGCAACATTTACTTTTATTCAGTAAACGTTTTTTAAAAAGTCAAGATTCAAAGAAATAATATTTTAAATAGGTGGTTTTCCTCACAGTGTTTCCAGAAAAAACGCAAGTCCGACATAAAAAGCATTTCGATGAACTCGTAAACGACCACATATTTGAGAGCTCTGAAACCAAATTTAAAGTGACTATTTATTATCGTGTAATTGACGAAGTAGTTGGTCAACTATTACACAGGTTCGTATGGAATATGTTTAAGATTATTTTGACTTTTCACAACCAAATATTATTCTTACTTCTTCTGAATCGACAATCGTTGAAAAATGTGAAAAATTGTGTATCAAATACTCTGAATTAGTCAGTCATTCTCTAATACCCCAATATGTTCACCTTATTACTTTAGCCAAGGACTATCTAAACAACTCTATAAGTATCAGGCAATATTTTAAATTATTACTTGAAAAATTTGGATTAGAAAGTGACCTATCTCAAGTGTATATGGCATTCTTATTATTTTTGTCTGACAGTTGCCACTGTTGCACGCTCCTTTAGCAAATTAAAGTTTTTAAAAAATTATTTACTGGGGGGCCCCTGTAATTCATTTGCACAAGGGCCCCGTCCAACCTTGCTACGCCACTGTGTTGGTGAACAATTTTTATTGGCTCTCTATGGTGCTGACAGAGCAGTCAAAAGTAGGGTTTCCATACGTCCAGATTTACCCGGACATGTTTGGGTTTTTATGGTGTCCGGGGAAGTCCGGCCGGAATTCGGAGCAATGTCCGGAAAATTCGGAGATACCCAAGGATGATACACACTACTACTACAGGATGGCCTATCCCCCCCTCGCTCAAATACCAGTTGTGACGTAGGCAGCATGTTATTTCTCACTTTGAAGTGTAGGTATTTACCTTGTATTTGTCATTGTGTCTTCAGTCTAACGGAAAAAATGCTCAAAGCGTATCTATTAATTTCTGTAAAAATTTATTTTTGCATAAAATTTTTATCGGCGTTCGGATTTTGTCCGGATTTCTTGACTCCTAGGTCCTGGATTCCGAAAAACCTTTATGGAAACCCTAGTCAAAACCTTAGATGATTTTCGGTTTGTTAAATTTTGTAATAGCACAGCAAGACAAAGTTTGAATAAAAATTTTGAATTAGCATGTTTACCACCTACGTCAGATGCTGCAGCTCACCACAGTATGAGGGTCTATCTGCAAATACAAGATTGGTTGGGCAATTCATTACCTCCAATAACTTGGAATTGGAAAAAGCATGGCAAATGTCTTTTGCCTGTAACAGCAGATAAACCAGTGGCTCCCGAATTTATTCTTAAAATGATATATTGCAATTGCAAAATGGACTATTGTAAACTCTGTAGCTGCAAAAAATCAGGTCTGAATTGCTCTAATCTATGTGGTCAATGTCAGAGGGACTCTTGCAGCAATATATTCCAAGAGTATGTAGATGATGAAGACCTGTTCGATGAAATAGATACTTAATTTCTCAGTTATTTTCAACTATCCTTATATATTTGATTATTAAGTAACTATTTCTCTATTCTGTTTTATATAAATAAATAAAGTGTTTAACAATGAAACCTAATATTTTTTATTGTCTTAGCACTAAAGTCAGAATTTTAATATTGCTTTTATGCATCTAATGAACTTAGTTGGTCATAACAATAATTAGTTATCTGGTGCCTTCAGGTTTTACTCGCCCGCTTGTACGCCACTGAATACACTGACATCGTGTATTATATCAATTTGTAGGAAATTTTATTTTCTTTAAGTACCTTCTCTTGAAAATTTCTAAAAAAATGAACCGCTAGCGAGCTATTGGTAAAAAACAAACAAAACTCACTTTTAGGGGTGGTTTGGGGATGCTCCGCCAAGTGGAGAGCTGGGGACTTTTAGTATGTTAAATAGAATAACAAATGTGACAGAAATCCGCAACTTTTAGCTTTAGGTGATTTTTTTCCATGTTCCAAATAAATGCCCTGGACTATAAAGGCCATCAGGGCAATGAAGGTGCCGACAAAATATAGCTCGAGCCAAGAAGTTCTTGAATACCTCAGCGGCTAAACTAACAGCAGACCTACTAAGCAATGGAAAAGCTCTCAGAATAATGGTGCGTTTGCTGACAGGCCACTGTCCACTTATGATGGGAGTGGAAGAAAATACAGACTGTTCTGTCAAGAGGAGGACGGCGGTCACCGTCGGGGAGACACCTCCGGGACCATGATCGAGATCACCGAGGGCCTGGCCGAGGGCGACGAGGTACACTAGGGAGCTATTGTCGAGGTTGTGGAGTCTGATCAGACAGATAAAACTGGACGAGGCTCTATAACATGGAGTGAGTCACAATAGATCCGCAGGGTCGCAGTGGCGAATAGGCGGAAAGCCAACTCTCCCAACATTTTTTTAATCTGATCTTAATCTAATAGAGTTTCCTACGTAGCTGTCGGCTACAGTTAATTTCTAAGTTATAAGAAATAATTTATAACACCTATGTATACCTACTGTTAATTGAATAGTTATTTTTTTTATTGATAACCTATTTCACTTATTTAAAGTACTCCTCCAACATTCAAAAACGCGCGTGTTTTAAAGTTACCAATGACAACATCAACAACTAACAACCCGAGAAAGGTCTAAATGTCAATTTTTTAATTATTGATTTGTCAGGAGTAGGTACTTGTAGGTAACGTCAAATAAAATATAACAAGTGTCAAGCACGAATTAAGCATTCTACAATTATTAGTAATTTATGATTTGATTAAACGTATACCATTAAAAAAAAATAGTTTAAAGTATTCGTGGATAACTGGTCCTTAATATCCACTTATACTTTAATATACTATTTTAACATTCAAAATAAATTTGGTAACCAACTATTTTTGTGTTCTTCTTGCTTTAAGTCAAGGTAGTCAGGTTAATTTACTTCTTTTTCAGAAAATTGAGACATCATTAACATAGGCAATCAGTCGCTGATGAGTATTATAACGGCAACGTCATTATCTGTTAGTGATTTGATGGCCAAATAATTCTAACACATTGATTGAAAGCAGCTCTTATCAGACGTTCTCGTTTTTTTGAGGCCAAAGATATGTAAATTTGACTCATTACCTCTTACTAAAATTTTGTCTTTTTTTTCCTACAGTTTCTTGTTTTAGTTCACGACTTTGCTAGAACAATTATTTATCGACAAGTTTATTTAAAAAAATGTCTTTATACTGTCAAATGGAAACGATGATATAAGAATGGATAGCAAAATAATTCGAAATTACCTATTCAAGATTTTTTTTTTTTAAATATTTGTGTTACAAAAATGAATGATAGCTATTCATTTAATTGATACTCCTAGCCATAGTTGAACAAGCTGAATTACAAAATCTTGAAAACTCTAATCATACACGCAACTTTTTCAGCCACTGATCTTAGACATTTGATTTTGCTTTTCAAATGTTTGGCAATCAAATAAATACATGTAGTACCTATAACAAATATACAAGTAACATTTTCTGCTATTGGGGATGCTCGTATCCTCAGAATAAGCGCAAATTAACTTTTGAACTGTATGTGGTCAAGATTTTAGGGGTTTTATCATTATTCTGAGGTTATGCATAAACTCGTTCTCATTTCCTAAATAATTTTGTTCTGATAGTTACTTTATGTCTATTTAAGTGTCCAGATTATTTGAAACAAACTTCACAATAGTTCTTCATCTCAAAAGTAGCAAGCTGTTTTTATATCAATATCCTAGCTAGATTCAAGGGGTGCTAACGCATGCAAATATGAAAACTTACCCGTAAATACAGCAGCATCCAAAAACCAGTGCCATTTTTTCGTTTGATCCCCTATCAAAAGCGAGTCCCTATTACCATTTTGAATTACTGTAGGTTTATATACTTCCACTAAATTCTTCCCTTCACAATTGTTATCACAATCATTGTCCGTCAAACTTTCTTCTACTGCCAGCATTTTAAAAAGTCAACAACAACTCAAAATAATTATACAATCATGTCTAGTCTTAATGATCGAGTAAGAATAAACAAGTAATGTGCGACAGCCAATTATTATTAGTTCGAACCCTTCAAGAAACACTCACCACTAATCAAGCTCACCGCAGTTATCGATAAATTCAACAATAATAGAAAAAAAATCAATCAAAGCGCAAAACAATCTGGTCTTGGTTATAAACGCCAAACCACTTTTTAAATAATTACCGTGTTTATTTGCATCGGTTCTATGGTTAAGGTTGTGTTGTTATAAGAAGAATTAAATATTATTGTAAATGACCTTGAAAGCCCACGTATTTAGGTACTTACCAGATTATTATCATGTTGCAACGTGACAGTTTATTACAGTTTACTTGAACTGTCGTTCATTGAGATTTGAATTTTGGAAGATCGTGTATGCCCTCTGATTTTGATGCGTGAGCATTTTTTTTTTGTTTATTAAAATCATAATTTGAGTCTTTATTTTTGTATTAAAGTTTTGGGACGATTTTTGTGTTTCATTGACGATACCACATATTTGATACTCTTAAAATTAATTCCAATGAATACTTCCATTGAACTAAGATCTCTTAGAATGGAATGATAGCGTGGTTGCATTGCTTTTCAAGAAAGGGACAGGAGTAATGTCCAGAGACAGGAACTATCGACCGACGACCAATAGCTTTATCGTCTCAGGTTTAGGAATTATTTATGAGGCCCATCGCGAATCTCCAACATCTGAAATGGTTACATACATACCCACCTGACTCCGATATTGATACACCTCATCAGAATATCTTCTTACAATAAGAACCCACCATTAATAAGGCTAAAGTATACTAAATGCTCTGGGTATTGAACATGCTATGAGTATTTGTAGAGAAGGTAAGATTCACGGTATTTGCTATGCCGAACGTCGCTTATCATTTTCCAATTTCATGGTTACAAAACAACCTTCTCAGCCCTCCTAATAGTTGTGACGTTAGATATAGCACACCAGCTTCTATATTTCGGATTAAAAAATGCTACATTCGACTCATTCATTATTTTGTTCGTTGATGTTAAGAGAAGTATTCGACAAGTAGACATGATACCGTTTATTTAAAATGGCATTGAAAGATGTATTTAGCTGATTCAATTGAACACGGTAAGGTATAATAATATCATCGGCCGAATATCTAACCTATCTAAAGTTTCAACGATTATACAGGTCGTCAAATATACATATTATATGCACGAGGCAAATAATTTATCTCAGCAAAGAATATCGCATAGTCAAAATATCTAGAGGCGCGCGAGTTAAATACTTAAACCAGTAGAATGCTTTAAAAAAAAAGATTTACTTACTGGTACAGTGTGTGACTAAAGACTAAACTTATTTTATTGTATTGGCAATTTACGTATTTGTTCATGTCTATAACTCTTCCTCCCTTAAGATTCTTCAACGTCCTCGTTGATGATTTCCTGTAGAGTTCTCAGGGGGATCGACTTCTGCTTCGTTTGCCATAAATACACAACTAGTTTAAGAATTAGTACAGATCAAGAAATAATACAATAATACTAGTTGCATGAGTTTTTGCTGAAACAAAGTCCTTAAATACTACGGGTTCCCTAAGGTCTTCTGTGATTTTTTCAGGATACATTAGGTGCTTAAGTTGTAAGTTCAGAGATAAGTTTGAATTTAATACAGTACTTTGGATTTCAGGATTTTTAATCCTAATACCATTTGATTGTAGAGCGTATTTATATACTGACCAATAATTACATTACATTGGCTCTGAATATAGGAGCACCCTGTCAAATTATGTTTAATAAATTGGAAACAGTTTTCAAAAACACTTTCAGAAGTTTTCGTACAAAATAAAAGAGCCTTATGATAGGTTAAAGTGTGAACTTTATAATTATTACCTACTTATTTTTGCAAAAGTACAATCTGTTAATAAGTTACATCCATTAATTATAGGATCAGTGCAGATCCACTTTATATTAATTTCTGAACACTTTGTATACCATAAGTTACTACAATAGTATTTGCTAGGACTAATCAAAATCGTATTGTTAAATGTAGGAATGGGATATAAAATATCTAAATTTACATGGTTTCATTTCGAAAATGAGGATTTTAATTACTAAAATTGCCATGTCATCAGATAAAATTAAACCAGTTTTGCAAATTAAAGTAAGTTCTATTATGTGCTTTATGGGCGATAATAAGTTTTTTGGATATTGAACTTCCAAATAATTCCAAATTATTTTTATTTCTTGTGTATTTAAAATTTCAAGATCTATAGGCTTTCTAAATAAACAAAGGTTAAAGTCCGCAATAGTTTTTCTAAGTAAGAGTGTAGATTTTTTATTTGTAAAAGCTGATTTTGCATTTCTACTAGAAGCATTATTGTGTCGTTTAAAACATCTATATTGGCTTTAAGTTTTCTTGAATTCTCATTTATAATGTTTACATTTTCTTGGAATCGAGCAGTTATGTGCCCGGCGAATGAACTTAGTTCGTTGATCTTGTGCATAGAATTAATTGGATTATTCTTCAAAATTTGCATGTGTTGATTTATTTCTTTAGATCAGCATCGTCTAAATTACCTCTAATGAATTTTATACAGCTTCCAAGGAAATTTATCAATCCACGCTTTTTGCGAGTTAAGCAGTTAAATGATGTGCTTGCATAAAAAGCGATTTTATCGTGTTATTGGACTTATTTGTAAAATGTATTAATACAGGGTGTATCAGGTATGCGTACAAATATTTCAACATGAGATAATATGGCCCATTTCAAGCTAAAACTGTCCTATTAACCATGGGTCAATTGTTAGTATTTTCGGAGTTATCGCAGAATTTAAATTTAGAAAAATGTTAACAACGTGACAACATTGTACAGGTATTATCTCTGCTAGAATATAAATGTAAATAAAACTGGTAAATTTAAAGAGTTTTTTTTTTGCATGGAGTTTATTTTATTTCCATCTGTTTACGTTTTGGTTTGTTATTGGCTTTGAAATAATGTAAATAATAACTTTCACTTTTATCATTTTTCTAGTAAAAATAAAAAATGTGCCGTTTTATTAAGTTGTGAATTGCATTCATTGACATTTTTGCACTAAACATTCAAGAGAAAAATCAAATAATACTTACTCAGCTACTTGTCAAATCCTTATTATGAAAATATTAATTGTTGTTAAAAGTTTCTCAAAACACTAAAATCAACACGCAGATTTTGCAAACTCACAGCTCATAGTTCCTGTATCACGCAATCTTTGTAAAAGGGGCACAATGTTCTTTCATCAGGTGGGTGCTTTTCTTTTGGGAAATCTTTCCCTTGTTTCCTTGTAAATTCTGGCGGCTAAATGAGCATTTTGCAACGTTTCTGCCTGAACAAGTATCTGCATATTCGATGTTTTTAAACATTTTATTTTCAAAAAAAAATTAATTTGAATTACGCGCATTTCCTAACTAGACCAAATCAAGAATCAATTTATTCAGCTCCACCAAGGTTCAACCTTCAACCACCTATTCTTTATTGTGCTGTGTTGCCAGATGTTTAGATACCCTTTTACAAGTGAAATTTGTAAGTTGTTTTTTCAATTTTTTGTTATAGTTGTTGACTAAAAATGCATAATTACTTGATAATTGGATAAACTAAACTTTTCTACATCTCATAATCATTAAAATTTTCTTTACCTTTAAAATATTCGTTAGAAAATATCAAAACTTCAAAGGCCTTTTTCTCAAAAATGGTTGAGTTTGGACTCCATGTTGTGTAAACTTTTTTTGTTCAAAATGGGCCATATTTTCACGTGTTAAAATTTTTGTAGTCAAACCTGATACACCCTGTATATATATATATTAGAAGTTAGCTCAGCTAAAGCAGACTTAATACAAGTAAGGTTAAAATATATATATGTATGATGATAATGGTTTAAAACCACCGTGGGTGCTTTTTTTTCAGCATAGTATCGATTATTCGGTAGAGGATCTACTTGTAGAGGGTTGATCCTGGGGGTTTGGTTTAGGCTGAAAAGATAAAGGATTTTTCCTTATTCTCCTAATTTTTCTAAAATGACCTGTTATTTGCTTTTTCTTAGAAAGTCCAGTTAAAGTATTTTTATTAAGAGTCTTTACATTGGTGGGTATAAAAGAAGGGTTCATTTTATTTCTATAAGGATTTTTCCTATAAATAGTTTGTGCTTCTGTTAATTCGGGAGTGGAACTAGTATTTCTATTTTGTTTTTAGGTGTTTTTGAATTGGGTTTTGTGTGTTTCTTCAAAAACTTTTTTATGAAACGGTATTAGTTTATTTTTTCGTTGTATTGTTCGTATATAGTCAAATCATTATTTATGTTTGGTTCGTTAAAATAGGGTGCGTATAATACAGAGAAAGGTGAAAAGCCTGTTGTGGAATGGATGCTTTGATTGTATACTAATACACTCGAAATAATCAAATTCTGGGGAGATTCTTCTAGATTTTTCATTTTTTGGGTTTTCAATTTTTCTAATAGGGTAGAGTGTAATCGTTCTAATATACTAGATATTAGATGTTGAATTACCAGAAGTCGTGTAGTGTAGATCTATATAAAAGAAATGCCAAAATTCTTCAAACAAACGGTTTTTAAACTCTGATCCTTAATCAACGAAAATCTATTTGGGAGTGCTGTTTGTTAATTATTGTGGTGGCATTTTTGTCAGAAACGTAGTAAGCTTGGGCGTATTTAGAGAAAGAATCTATGATAGTTGAAAACTGACAATTTGAAAATGGAAATATATCAAGGTGTAGGGTGTTGAATGATTTCTCTGCTAACAATGGACCTTCGTAATTTATTTTATACGGGTGCCTTTCATACTTGTTCTGTAAGCAGATTTCACAAGTATTAATTAGAGTAGTTATGGTTTCGCGCATTTAGGGCCAATAGTATTTTTGTTTTAGTTGGTCATAGGTTTCTGTTATGCCGTTATGATTCTTCTGATGGTACTCGGATATAATATCTTTTTGTTGTTCTTGATTTTCAATATCTGTCAAATAAATATTTGAGATTTGAAGTTTGGCAGAAGCATTTAGATTTTCAGCAACATATTTTTGAAATTCTTGTTTTAAATCGGAATTAGGTATGTATAAGGCAGTATTTACATCGGGTCGAATTATTTCATACAGGATTTTATTGAAATGATTTGGGAGTTTGTCTTTTCCGATTCGAATAAGATGATGGTTTGTAAATGGTTTTGTAAATTTATCCAGGAATTTAT